TTCTTGATTTGAATCTCAGCTTGGTTGTTATTGGTGTATGGCAGTGCTACTAATTTGTGTATATTGATTTTGTATCCTGAAACTTTGCTGAATTCATTTATCAGATCTAGAAACTTTTTGGATGAGTCTTTAGCATTTTCTAGGTATGTGATCATATCATTGGTGAACAGTGACAGTTTGACTTCTTCTTTTCTGATTTGGATGCTCTTTATTTCTTTCTCTTGTCTGAATGCTTTGTCTAGGTCTTCCAATAATATGCTGAATAGAAATGGTGAAAGTGGACATCTTGTCTTGTTCTACTTCTTTAGGAATGCTTTCAACTTTTCACCATTCAGTATGATATTGGCTATGGGTTTGTCATAGATGGCTTTTATTGCTTTGAGGTATGTCCCTTCTATGACAGTTTTGCTGAGGGTTTTTATCATAAAAGGATGCTGGATTTTGTCAAATGCTTTTTCTGCATTTATTGAGATGATCATATGATTTTTGTTTTTAATTCTGTTTATGTGATGTGTCTCATGTATTGACTTGTGAATGTTAAACCATCCATGCATCCATGGTGTGAAACCCATTCGATCATTATGTATTATATTTTTTATATGCTGTTGGATTTGGTTAGCTAGTATTCTGTTGAGGATTTTTGCATCTATGTTCATCAGGGATATTAATCTGTAGTTTTCCTTTTTTGTTGTTTTTTCCTGGTTTTGGTGTTAGGGTAATACTGGCTTCCTAGAATGATTTAGCGAGGATTTCCTCTTTATCTTTTGGAATAGTATTGGTAGGATTAGTACAAATTCTTTAAATGTCTTATAGAATTTGGCTGTCAGTTTATCTGGTCCTGGACTTAAATTTGCTGGTAATTTTTTAAATTACTGTTTCAATCTCGCTGCTTGTTATTGTTCTGTTCAGAGTGTCTATATTTTCCTGATTTAGTCTAGGAGGGTTGTGTATTTCCAGGAATCTATCCATCTCCTCTGGATTTTCCAGGTTGTGTGCATAAAGGTGTTCATAGTAGCCTTGAATGATCTTTTGAATTTCTATGGTATTGGTTATAATATCTCCCATTTATTTTATTTGAGCTTATTTTGGTCTTCTCTCTTCTTTTATTGGTTAATCTCACTAAGTCTATCAATTTTGTTTATTTTTTCAAAGTACCAGCTTTTTCTTTTATCTTTTTTTTCTTTTTTCTTTTCTTTTTTTTTTTTTTTTTTTTTTTTTTTTTTTTTTTTTTTTTTTTTTTTTTTTTTTTTTTTTTGTTCTCTTATCTTTGTTATTTCTTTTCTTTACCGCGTTTGGGCTTGGTTTGTTCTTGTTTCCCTAGTTCCTTGAGGTATGACATTAGATTGCCTATTTGAGCTCTCTCAGACTTTTTGATGTAGGCATTTGATGCTATGAATTTTCCACTTAGCACCCCTTGTACTATATCCCAGAGGTTGTGATAAGTTATGTTACTGTTATCATTTAGTTCAAATTGTTTTAATTATTTAAAAAATTTATTGTTTTCATCTCAATTTTATTGTTGACCCAAAGATCATTCAAGAGCAGAGTTTGCATAGTTTTGGGGGTTCCTTTTGGAGCTAATTTCCATTTTTATTCTACTGTGTTCTGGAGAATACTTCATGTGATTTCAGTTTTCTTAAATACATGGAGACTTGTTTTGTGCCCTATCATATGGTCTGTCTTGGAGAATATTCCATGTGCTGGTGAAAAGAATGCATATTCTGTAGTTGTTGGGTAGAATGTTCTGTAAATATTTGTTGTTTATTTGTTCGATGGCATAGTTTAAGTCCATTTTTTCTTTGTTGACTTTCTGTCTTGATGACCTTTCTAGTGCTGTCAGTGGACTATTGAAATTCCTCAGTATTATTGTGTTGCTATGTCATTTCTTAGGTCTAATCATAATTGTTTAATGAATTTGGGAACTCCTTTGTTAGGTGTGTATGTATTTAGGATTATGATGGTTTCCTATTGGACTAATCCTTTTATCATTTATATAATGTCCCTCTTTGTCTTTTTTTTAAAACTATTGTTGCTTTCAAGTCTATTTTTTTCTCTAAGAATAGCTTCTCCTGCTTGCTTTTGTTTCCATATGTGTGGAATATCTTTTTCCTTTCCTTTACCTTAAGTTTATGTGAGTCCCTATGTGTTATGTGAGTCCCTTGAAGATTCCAGATACTTGATCCGTGGACCTTTATCCATTCTGCCATTCTGTGTCTTTGAGTGGAGCATTTGGACCATTTATGATCAACATTAGTATTGAGATGTGAGGTACTGCTCTATTCATTGTGTTAGTTGTTGCCTAAATACCCTTTTTCATTGTATTATTTTTATAGGCCCTGTGAGATTTATGTTTTCAGAAGGTTCTTTTTTGGTGCATTTCAAGGTTTTGTTTCAAGATTTAGAATTCGCTTTAGCATTTCTTATAGTGCTGGCTTGGTAGTGTCAAATTCTCTCAGCATTTGTTTGTCTAAAAAATACTTTATCTCTCCTTCATTTCTGAAGCTTAGTTTTGCTGGATATAAAATTCTTAGCTGACAGTTATTTTGTTTAAGGGGGCTAAAGATATGACCCCAACCCCTTCTGGATTGTAAATTTTCTGCCTAGAAATCAGCTATTAATCTGATAGGTTTTTCTTTATAGTTTATGTGATGCTTTTATCTCACACCTCTAAATGTGACATGGTAAAAAGCCCCATAAACCTGCATACCTCAACCATACCTCGGCTTTCTGTTGAAATTGCTCTCTGTAACTCAAATATGACAAGCAAGCAGTCCAAACCCATGCCATCTTGGCCCCTGCGACTTGTAATTTCCACCCTACCCAGACAATATGTAAACAAGTGCTTATCTTGACTTTTGTGAATCACTTAAGTAACAATCAGAATGTCAGAAGTCCCCTGGCCCTCGGAATGTCCGGAGCCCCTCACCCTCATCTTCGCCCAGGAATCCACTGGAATGTCCGGAGCCACTCACCCTCATCTCCGCCCAGGAGACGATTTACAGAATCTACTGGCCCTTGGAATGTCTGAATCCCCTCACCCCCACCCCCGCCCCTCACCCTCACTCCCGAGGTGGTTGTATGGGTATAAAAGGTCTTGACACCCTCCTTTCGGGGCCAGGGGTTGGGGAGACATGAGTCCTCTGTGGCCGCTGGCAGTAAAGACCCTGCAATTTGGCATACTTTTGTCTTGGTGTTGAATTTCTGTGCTCGGTTCAGTACAACATAAACATTCTTTCATTCTTCCTGACTTTAGATAACCAGATGACTATACCTAGGTGATAATCCTTTTGTGATGAATTTATCAGGAGTTCTTTGAGCTTCTTGTTTTTGGATGTCTAGATCTCTAGCACGGCTGGGTAAGTTTTCAATTATTCCCTCAAATAAGTTATTCAAACTTAGATTTCCATTCTTCCTCAGCAACACCAATTATTCCTACCTTTGGCCATTTAATATAATCCCAAATTTCTTGGAGGCTTTGTTCACTTTTTTAGAATTATGTTTTCTTTATCTTTTACAGATTGGGTTAATTTGAAAGCCTTGTCTTTGAGCTCTGGAGTTCTTTCTTCTACCTGTTCTAGTCTCTTGTGGAAACTGCCCACTGCATTTTGTATGTCCCTAAGTGTGTCTTTCATTTCCAGTTGTGATTTTTTTTCTTTATGATACCTATTTCCTTGTAACATTTTTTATCCATATCCTGCATTTTTTTTGAAGTTTTTTTTTGTTTTCAACTTTCTCTGGTATCTCATTGAGTAGCTTAATAATCAACCTTTTGAGTTCTTTATCTGGCAATTCGGAGATTTCTTCTTGGTTTGACTTTATTGCTGGGGAGTTACCATGATCTTTTGGGGGTGATATAGAGCCCTGGTTTTGTTGTTGTTGTTTTTTCAACATTACCAGAATTTCTTTTCTAATTTCTTCTTATTTGGGTAGACTATTACTTAAAATTGTTTTTGAATTTATTTTTGATTGGATTTTTTTTAAAAATCCAAATTTCCTTTTTTCCTTCCTAAGGATCAGACTTTAATGTTTATTTTAGCCTAATTTGACTCTTGGTGCTTTTAGGAGTGAAGACTCTGCGTGAGTTCCTTAGTTACAGAGAATCTTTTTGTGCTGGCTTGTCCTGATGCTGGCTGTTAACAGTTATATTGTTGATGTGTGGATGAATTCACTGTCTCTTATGGAGTTAGAAGGCAGGGATCTCTTGAAGCGTATCTCATTCTCTTGTGGTATACACTTTAGATGGTGTGAAGTTCTGGAAAGGAGGAGGATGAGATGGGGGGCAGATGGGAACCAGCTCTCAGGGGCCTCTGCTGAGACCTGGGGAATGAGAAGAGCCCCCAAGGTGCAGAGATGGGGAGGAATGGAAGATGAAGATAAAATGTGTGTCCTGAGGCAATAAAAGCCCTGCTGTGTTGTCAGAGCTGGGAGAAAGTGTAAATAGAAAGAGTAGCAGTGGAGGGAGGAGCTGGTGACGAGGAAGAGAGAGGCAGAGGTTGGGTTAGCAGGGTCTTGTCAGGGCCAGCATGAGGAGCACATGGGTGGATTCTTCGAATCCACATGACCAATATGAGGACTGCATGGATGGGCCTTTGAATCCACATGACCAGCATGAGGACCACATGGCTGGGCCTTCAAATCCTCATAACCAGCATAAGGACTGCATGGCTGGATCCTCTGAATCTACATGACCAGCATGAGGGCTGTGTGGGTGGATCCTTTGAATCCATGTAACCAGCATGAGGGCCACATGAATGGACCTTTGAATTCCCACAGCCTGCATGACCACTGGATGTTGGGGTGCTTGCCCATCCCTTTCTAAGCAGGTCTGTTGTCTATGCCTTCAGGTGCATCTATTGCCCGCCTGCAAGTGGGGTGTGGGGTACAACAGAATCAAGGATGATCCCAGTGTTATTCTCACATGTTTCTGAAATGATTATGTTGTGAAGTTAAGTGTAAAGTTGGATGAAGAGCTGAATGTAAAGTTGGATGAAGAGCTTATTTTTGTGAGTGTTTCATTAGTTTATGCTTTATAAAACATAGCCAGTGAATCACTGATTATAGAACCTATGATAGCTTAACTGTAATTACATAGAGGGTTGTGAAATTGTTGATTAATCTCAGTTTAGCTATGGGAAATGTGAGTTCCAATTGCAGTTTCCCAGTAACTAATTTGCTGTGATCAATTCAGAAAATAACTTTGTGTTTTAGTCATTGATACCAGCAACTGGTTTCAGTAGCCAGTGTTTAGAATGCCAAGTGTCAGTGCTGTACCCGTGGCATATGGATCATTGTTTAGTCTTTGCCTCTCAGTAACTGTTCCATTTTATGGTTGTGAAAGCTTATTCAGAAAGCCTAAGCAAGGTCTGCTAAGTGGGGATAGGAGGATTTGAGTCAAGGTCTGCTTAATTGGAAAGCTCATGAGAGGAATGGAGCAGTTGTGAATGTGGAACCTCCAGAGTTTTTAACAAATTTCTCTTCTTTTTTCTTGGGGTGAGGAAAGGTGAATGAATCGGTATGATGTGGCATGTGTGTGTGGTCACACTAGTAACTATCAATAGATAATAGACTTTTTTTCTATATTAAATATGACACCTATAGTCATCTTGTACGTACTTTTTGTTTTCAGATTGAAGATGGAAAATCCCCAAGACATTTTCTCAAGTAATGGTGGCTGTGTAAGTGATATAGTTGTAGAGAAATACCTGGTTGAATCCAAGGAGTCTGCATCTCATGTTCAGCTTGCTTGCAGCATGCAGCACTGTGCTTTCCCTTTGGATGGGAATGAACTTTGCATATGGAACACCAAGGATCCTTCTCATCAGGTATTTTACAAGTGTTATGTCCAGTGTCATGAAGGCGTTGCCCTTGACTTTCCATGTCTTTGATACTCTTTGGACAGCATTACCTTCTATGGATTCACCTACCAACTATGGGAGAGAAATATTGATAAAAATATTATATTACATTTTTATATTTAGAACACAAGCTATCTGGAATTACTTAATTAAAAAAATTTCTTCAGTAATAAGCTGATCAAGAAAAGGTTCATGTTAACATAATCAAATCTCCTACCTTTGGATATCCAGATTGACTTTTCTTACTTTTTTCAGTGAAGTATAAACTACATAGAAAAAAAAGGTCCATGTAAAAAGTGCACGTTGTAATGACTATAACTAAATGAATTCACTTAGGTAACCACCCTAGGTCATGCCTCTTCTCCATCAACACCCACTTTTCTCCTCCCCAAAGCCAACACTGTCTTGACTTCTAATACCATAGGTTAGTTTTGCTTTCGGTGAACTTTATATAAATGTGATTATATATTATGTACTTTTTTATGCTTGTCTCTTTGATTAACCAGCATATTTATGAGATTCATCCAGTTGTTCATTTTCATTGCTGCACAGTATTATATTATGTGAACAGACCTCACTTTATCCATGCTTCTGTTGGTAGACATTTGTTTTATTTTAGTTTTTTTGGCTGCTACATTCTTTCCTATGTGTTTTGGTGCACACACACATACAATTGCTGAGTTGTAAAGGATACATAAACAGTTGACTCTCGAACAGCATGGGTTTGAACTGTGCTGGTTCACTTATACACCGATTTTTTTCAACCCAATGTGGGTCAAAACTATAGAATTTGCAGGATATGAAAACTGCATATTTGGAGGGGCACCTTTTCATATATGTGTATTCCACACAGCCAACTGTGGGATGTGAGTGTGCACAGATTTTGGTTTATGTGGGGGTTCCTGGAACCAATCCCTCATGATACTGAGTGATGTCTCTATTCAGTAGGTAATGCCTAGCAGATTTCCAAAGTGACTGTACCAATCTATATTTCTTCTAATGGAGTGTGAGTTTTAGTTGATCCATATCTTCACCTATACTTGTTTATTTTCATTTTACCCTTTCTAAAAGGGTGTAGTGTTATCTAATTATAATTAGTAATTCTGTGATTATTAATGAGGTTTAGCACTTTTTTGCACATTTATTGGCCATGTAGATATTCTTTTTTGTGATATATATATTCAGATTTCTTGTCATTTTTTCTGTTGGATTATCTATATGTTTTCTATTGATTTGAAGGAGTTCTTTATATTATAAATGTAGGGTTTCTGTCTCTTTAGTTTGCATTTTCTACAGTTTTATGTAAATAGAATCATGGTAATTTAATTTTTTTATTGACATGTAATAGTTGTACATACTTTGGGGGGTATATGTAATATTTTGATACAAGTCTACAATGTGTTATGATCAAATCAGGATGATTGGGATGGCCATCACCTCAAACATTTACCTTTTTATTGTGTTGAGAACATTCTAGTTCTTTTCTTCTGGAAATTTTGAATTACATAGTAAGTTATTATTAACTATAATTTTCCTGCTATACTATTGAATACCACAACTTATTCTTACTATCTAACTATTTTTTTTATTCTTTTGCCCACTTCTTTTCATTCTCCCCACTTCCTGTCCTAGCCCCTGGTAACCACCATTCTACTCCCCACTTCCATGAGATCTACTTTTTAAGTTTCTATATATGAGTGAGAACATGTGATATTTGTCTTTCTGTGCCTGGCTTATTTTATTTAACATAATGACCTCCAGTTCCATCCATGTTGCTGCAAATGACAAGATTCAGTCTTTTTTATGGCAGAATAGTATTCCATTGTGTATATATATCACATTTCTTTATCCATTTGTCTGTGGATGGACACAGTATTCCATTGTGTATATATATCACATTTCTTTATCCATTTGTCTGTGGATCCATATCTTGGCTGTTGTAAATAGTGCTGGAGTAAATATGGGAGTGCATTATTATATAATGTGCTATTTTTCTCTTCATACAGCTTTTAACTTGATGTCTGTTTTATCTGATGTAAGTATAGCTACTCCTGTTTGCTTTTGGTTTCCATTTGCATGAAATGTATTTTTCCATCCCTTCACTTTCAGACTATGTGTGTCTTTATTGCTGAGATGAGTTTCTTGTAGTCCACATATAGTTGGGTCATATTTTTTGTTTTATTTAGCCAATCTATATCTTTTTAATTGGGAATGTTATTTATTTACATTCAGGGTAATTGATAGGTAAGGAATCACCCCTGTCATTTTATTTATTGTTTTCTATTTGTCTTGTATATCTTTTTTTTCTTCTTGTCTTCTTGTTTATTTTCTCAGTTGGGTTTTCTATGGATTTGATTCCTTTGTCTTTCTCCTTTGTGTATTGGTTTTACCAGGGAATTTTATAGTTTCTTATGTTTATATGATGGTGATTATCACCTTTATATTTCCAGATATAAGACTCCCTTGAAACTTTCTTGTAAGACCAGTCTAGTGGTGATGAATTCACTGAGTTTTGTTTGTCTCTGAAGATTTAATTTATCCTTCATTTTGAAAAATAGCTTTGCTGGGCACAATATTCTTGGCTGAAGTTTATTTGCTTTCAGTACTTTGATATAGCATCCTATTCTCTCCTGAACTATAAGGTTTCTGCTGAAAAATATGCTGTTAGTCAAATGGACATTCTCTTACATGTGACTTGATGCTTTATTCTTGTTGCTTTAATTTTTGTGTCCTTGGATTTTGACAATTTGACAATAATGTAACTCTAAGAGGACTATTGGATTGAAACTATGTGGTAATTTGAGCTTCGTGGACCTGGATTTCCATCTCTTTCCCAAGACATGAGAAGTTCTCTGCTATGATTTATTAAATATGCTTTCCTCACCTTCTCCCTTATTTTCTTTTGATAGAATGCCCATATTAGGAATATTTATTTGCTCATTGATGTCTCATAAATGATATAGGCTATCTTCATCCTTTTTTATTCTTTCTTTGTCTGCTGGTATTATTTCAGAAGTTCTGTCTTCAAGTTCAGAAATTCTTTCTTCAGCTTGATCAAGCTAGTTGCTTAATCTAGTTGTTAAATCTCTCAATTATATTTTTAAATTTTATTCATTGAATTCTTTAGGATTTATCTTTTTTTTAAAATATCTATTTCTTTGTTGAATTTCTCATTAAAATCATGAGTTGTTTTCCTGATTTTGTTGAATTGTCTATCTGTATTCTCTTGAATTTCAATGAATTTTCTTAAAATTATTATTTTGAATTCTTTTTCTGACATTTCATATATTTTCTTTTTAAAATTTTTTAATTTTTAATTTTTTTTATTGTACCTTGGGTTCTGGGGTACATGTGCAGATCATGCAGGATTGTTGCATAAGTAAACACATGGCAATGTGGTTTGCTGCCTCTATCCCCCTGTCACCTACATCTGCCATTTCTCCTCATGTTATCCCTCCCTGACCTCCCGATCCCCCCGCTGTCCTCCCTTGCCCCCCCCAACAGACCCCACTGTGTGATGCTCCCCTCCCTGTGTCAATGTGTTCTCATTGTTCATTACCCGCCTATGAGTGAGAACATGTGGTGTTTGATTTTCTGTTCTTGCGTCAGTTTGCTGAGAATGATGGTTTCCAGATTCATCCATGTCCCTACAAAGGACACAAACTCATCTTTTTTATGGCTGCATAGTATTCCATGGTGTATATGTGCCACGTTTTCCTTGTCCAGTTTATCACTGATAGGCATTTAGATTGGTTCCAGATCTTTGCTATTGTAAACAGTGCCACTGTGAACGTACATGTGCATGTGTCTTTATAACAGAATGATTTATAATCCTTTGGATATATACCCAGTAATGGGATTGCTGGGTAAAATGGAATTTCTATTTCTAGGTCCTTGAGGAAGCACCACACAATGGTGCTTCCACAGTGGTTGAACCAGTTTACACTCCCGCCAACAGTGTAAAAGTGTTCCTATTTCTTCACATCCTCTCCAGCATCTGTTGTCTCCAGATTTTTAGAGATCGCCATTCTAACTGGCGTGAGGTGGTAGCTCAATGTGATTTTGATTTGCATTTCTCTAATAATCAGTGATGAACATTTTTCATATGTTTGTTGGCCTCATATATGTTTTCTTTTGAAAAGTATCTGTTCATATCCTTCGCCCACTTTGGATGGGTTTCGTTTTTTTTTTTTTTNATCTGTTTCGTTCTTTGTAGATTCTATTTCGTTCTTTGTAGTTCTTTGTAGCTTCTTTAGTTCTCTGTAGGCCTGTGTCAGATGGGTAGATTGCAAAATTTTTTTTCTATTCTGTTGGTTGCTGGTTCACTCTATTGATTGTTTATTTTGCTGTACAGAAGCTCTGGAGTTTAATTAGGTCCCATATGTCTATTTTGGCTTTTGTTGCCAATGCTTTTGGTGTTTTAGTCATGAAGTCCTTGCCTATGCCTATGTCCTGAATGGTTTTGCCTAGGTTTTCTTCTAGGGTTTTTATGGTGGTAGGTCTTATGTTTAAAAGTCTTTAATCCATCTGGAGTTAATTTTAGTGTAAGGTGTCAGGAAGGGGTCCAGTTTCTGCTTTCTGCACATGGCTAGCGAGTTTTCCCAACACCATTTATTAAACAGGGAATCCTTTCCCCATTGCTTGTTTTTGTGAGGTTTGTCAAAGATTAGATGGTTTTAGATGTGTGGCGTTGCCTCCAAGGCCTCTGTTCTGTTCCATTGATCTATACCTCTGTTTTGGTACCAGTACCATGCTGTTTTAATTATTGTGGCCTTGTAGTATAGTTTGAAATCAGGTAGTGTGATGCCTCTGGCTTTGTTCTTTTTGCTTAGGATTGTCTTGGCTATGCAGGCTCTCTTTTGGTTCCATATGAAGTTTAAGGTGTTTTTTTCCAGTTCCGTGAAGAAGGTCATTGGTATCTTGATGGGAATAGCAATGAATCTATAAATTACTTTGGGCAGTGTGGC